GGCGTGGCACATCCCGTAGGCGTGGAATTTCTTATCAGCTATAACTTCGTAAGAATGAGTCAAATGAACTTGAGATTTGGTTCGCAGTCATATCTACCAAATTTATTATTGCATTTCATTCCTGAACAAACAAGATATAAAACTGCCCTACCATATTCTGCTACCACGTGAGCAGAGCCGCGGGTTCAGGCTAGTACATAATAAAATTAAAAGGAATTACGGGCGGTATGTTGTGTTTGGCAAGAGCCAGGACAACAAACTTGTGCGTTACCTTAAACCTCCGAATTGTCAATTGAAGCGACGACGGTGGGAAAATTGCTGCGGTGTTTCATTAGGGGACTCATCACGTGTGCGCGAAAACCATTTTAGTGCCAGTGACTATATTTGTTGGTGCAGGATTTATCATACCGAATATGAAAAGAAAATCTCCCACTCATATACATGGATAGACCAAATTTCAAGTGGTGGTCGGATAAAACCTATACCAGAATTTCTTGTTGATATAAAGAAACTGGAAGTAATTTTTAATAAATTTAATGGTGTTTATAAATGAGTGTTTTTCATTTAGGGCCGGTTGTTCAATGTCTGATTAGCACAAATCGGAGGTAGAATCTCTGGTTAAGCACAACTACTGCTTTATCGATCACATGTTACATGCATGATGTCGAAATCGTCGATAGTGTAGTGGTAGTGATAACCAGACATTGAACAACCGGGCCTAAGGGCCGTTTTCACCAACTCTGGTTAACACTAATCCCCAGTTAAACATTGTTGCCGACGTTACCGACACAGTTTTATATGCACGGTGTCAGTAACGTCGATAAGGATGTTTGACCGGAGATTAGTGATAACCAGACATTGAGAAACTGGCCCTTAGTGTATAATTCTGTGTAAGTAGCATTTCCACATTTGCATTAAAACGAAAATGCAATAACTAAAATGAAGCTGATTCTAACGATATTTTAAATATTTTCGTATTTGCAAAAACTTTCATTTCAAAGATCTAGGGCCGTATGCATAAAACCAAAGCAAATGCTTTTTCTTAAAATTTCAGACCTTTTATTCGATCATCAAAAAGACTCTTCTTTTTAGCCACTGCAAAAGAAAAGGTAAAGTAATATTTATAATTAAGGACACCTATTAATTTTATGCTCACGCATTGTCAATTTTTCCAACTTGGCATATGCACTTGCTATGTTTTTGCCAATATATTTGTGACCATCATAAATTCCTTTCTTTGGCATACGTCAATTGTTGCACCATAACCTGTAAGAAATGCGTAAACATAATAATGTAAACATCAAATGCACTTCTACTTCTAACTTAATTGGAAGTCTCTAATCTGTTGCTCGTACATAAATTGCGTCTGCGTCGAGATCTCTATCCAATTGCGGCCTTGGTTTACATTGGCCTTATCCGATAACTGGCGTATATAAACTGCGCCATTTCCAACTCATTTGACTTTTCTTTGAACTGATGTTCAACATCGGGAGCACGTTGCTGCATTACATCTAACAGCCTTTTCATTTCATCCAGATGAGCCGCTTGATGTGGCTAACACCCAAAAGGTTTGTTTACAAAGTGCATTTTTGAGTAGTTGAACAAATGCCAGTGGGTCAGTTGCTGGCAACAATTTGCAGGCTTGGGCCAGCGTTTGTTGCGGCTGCCGGAAAAGTAGCTAAATAATGAAAGTAATTATATATATATAGCGGAGTAGGGGGTTTTCCTTTATTTTAAAAGCTTGGTTACTGATTTCACTAATTGACGACGATGCAACCATGGGCGTAGCCAGAACGAAATTTAGGGGGGCCCATACAAAAAAAAATCTAAACCAATAACTTACTAAGAAATTTTTTATTATAGCTTAAAATTATTGTAACCAATAGAGGTAAATAT